CACGTCGACACACTTATCAAACCACGTGTGGGAAACCACCCTCTGAAATTATAAGGAAATTTATTCCACCTTATCTGATGAATGTCACTGAAATAACAGTGAGGATAGTGAAACCATTCGGAACACACACACACACACTCAGACAAACCAACACAATCATTTCACCGGATAGTACACAGATCGAAGAAACCAACAGCGATAAGAGACAAGACCAGTACCATGTAGAAATTAAATTGCGAATATAATGAAGCATACTGTCTCGGTCAATGTAGATGTCGCCTTCGACTTCCAGTCCAAGATTACAGGCCAGCCAGGAAAACACATGACACGACCTGCTTTCATATCAGTTCATGAACACCAGTTCGACTGGATAGATGTAAACGTTTTGAATATGAAAATACTATAAATGCCAGTAGATACCTGAAAGTCAGTTATTCTTTATTCAAAAGACACACTCACTCGGGCCACATTTATCAAATAATAATGAACCATTGAAATGGAAAAGAGAATTTTCGACCACGATTCATAGTACATTCCAAGGAAGCGTTCAACTTAATTTTCGCCGTTCACGGCACTCGTCATCGAGGCACATCTGCTGACAGTATTCAGTCTACACCAAACAGACACCTAGATGCATGACACTCATTACTACACAATGTCCTATCTAGGTATTCCGGGTATTTCATGGCACACTTTCTCTAACATTTGTTCAGTCCTCTCTAGATCAAACTAGGTTTCTACTCGTGTTCTTCGTGTCAACACTGGTCCAACTACTGTGTCAACATCATTCCCTGCTCTGTCGAATTCCACTTGTCCGTAGAGATGTATCCCTTGTCCTGCCTCTTTACCCTTCCTAAGAACGTCATACAACTCTCGTTCCACGATCCTTCCAAACACTTCATTGTCATTCAACCAAGATTTCCTCACTGATGCTGCTTGATTTCCCTGACATTTTCCTGATCACCGCTGCGACAACGTCATCCCCAGCATCGCTCTTCAGGCTTTAGCCGACCTACTTTCATGGCCATCCATCTCCACCTCCTATGAAGGCTCCCAACTAGATCTCGAACGTTATTCGCACTACACAGGGAATGATCTCAATCTACATCAATTGCTTTCTCAACCTTGTGTTCAGTAGACTGAGTGTCCATGTTCTTCAGATAGGAATTAAGTCTACCTGAACTACTGTCGTCTCGTGGATATTACGGTGTCTGTCCACACCGCCTCAGAAAGTCAAATCAATAAAGGCGTAGAAGTCTGAATGTAGTTCTCTCTTCTCACTCATGTCAGCCAGCGCCTCACCACCTCTGATGGCTTCACTTCGTCTGTTGTCTGCTGTCAGTTCATCTTGCATACTTATCATACATAGCGATTTAGATGTCATCATGGACCTGCAGTTCATGAGTGACTCAGCTGCCGAAATTGGTTGAAGGAAGATCTCACAGTGGAAATTTGTCGCAGCATCGTTGAGAATAGCCCTTCCTAGTCGATCGTTTCTCTTCAAAATTCTGGAGGAAAACATCCTGCAGTTGACAGTCTCTATGTGAAATTACCCATTGAACGACTTCAGTGGAGCCAGGGTAATCGGTCGATCGACTGGAGTGTTGCCGAACAAGGTGAAATAAAACTATCCTGAATGGTAACGCGGCAGTGTTGGTGCCCAATAATTGAACATCTGGTAGATGCTGGTCACCTTATCTCTTCAGTCTCTTACTTTAAGGCTATCTACAAGGCAAGAAATATTCAGCTGCCTAAACTCTAACGTATTCGACTCATCTGAATTGCTTAACATCTAGTCATTGAAATATACAAGCCACACCTCTGTATACAGTGAAATTTTGTCCAACTCTTCCAATTCTCGTGATATTAATCCATCCACACTAAGGTGCAATAATCACTATTCATACTTTGACCCTACTTATTTTTCGTTCTGTCTGTTCAATTTTTATATCCCTCTCTTATTGTGTCGATTATTTCTATTACCATTCTGACTTTGAACTGTTTCCGGTTGTTATTAATTCACTTCGCCTACTTGTCATTCTAAATCAGGTTTTCTTTGAAATGTTTAATTCTGTCATATCATATCTTACATAATCTTATTTGACATTTATATTCTCCTATTAATCCTATAATTGCGCACTCCTTTCCTGCATCTAAACATCCCATTCTATTCTTCCATTCATGGAAGATAACGCGTAATAAAGCCATGATAAAACCAATAAGAAATTTATTATTATTATCATTATAACCACAAATGTTCCGGACAACCCCATGCATTCCGCCATTTCGATCTGTCCACGATAACACTCACTCGGTTATTCATCTGCACGAAATACCCAAAGTGATGACATACTGATATTTACAATCTGACTACACGCTGCTAATAAGCATATGATCATGGTAGTCCAAAGTGGAAATACTGCGAAAACCGAGCGATGCCTCGCAGGAATATCTCTTGGGAAACTAGGTTGATATTGACTAAAACCACTAGACAGTTGATATTGATCAGACGGTGGACCTCCAATACTCTCCTTCAAATAAAGCCAGAGAACAGTTTGTACAGCCAGTTTCCACACGATAATGCCTAATGTTGCTGTCTGACTGAATCTTCTTCCCTCATCAGGATGACCGAGTATTTGAGGAAGTCTAAAAACATGTACAAATGGGAAATGACATGGGCCGACGTCAGACGAAAACAAAATCTCATATTTACTCACTCATCGCCTACTGAAAATCTGATGATCTCATACCTTCCAGAAACGATCAGTCTAATTCTGATCAGTAGAATAACATCCAGAAACCACATCAGTGCAATTGTTATGCTCCAATTCCAGTAAACAGTTTCACTGATTTTCCAAATTTGTGAATATAAAACTATGTAGCACAGTGACCACAAAATAACCGCCACCTGGAAAAACTGAGAAAAATATCAGAACTGAATAATACAAGTGGAAATTATTAATGAGCAATAGACTACGCGACACGAAGAAAATGTGACAATAGGAAACAGAAAAATGCAGATATCGAGATGTGTGTGTCAGCCGAACTAGCACGCTTCGATTCAGTTCTCGTGTCGCTCATCCCTGTACTATAAACGGACATTATTACTAATGGAGTTGAATCGTCTACGAATTATCAGAAGCCTACTTAAATGCATCAGAGATTTCGTCGTAGGTAGGCGAAAGACAGATGGGCACTACTCAAAACTGTCTCTTCAAATGAGAGTGTGTATGTGTGTTACACAACGAAGTTTTCTTCATCATCTTTTATTCTTCATGAATATCACCTAAATACCTGAACTAGCCAAGTTCCCTGTGGTATTCTATGCAGATGGCGCAAAATTTAAAGAGAACTGAAAGATTACAGTGACATGTTTACGTCAACTACATATCCGTCAAACTTATTAGGTTGGACATAAAATGAACCCGAAACGGAAGTGGCGAGTTGGTCGTCAGTGCAAGAGTGACTTGGAGGAGTTCATGTGAAGAGAAGATGAAAGCATGTTGGCAGACTTGGGGCCAGGTGAAAACTCTAGCAGAGAATCAAACGCAATGGAGACGCTCGGCTGAAGCCCTATGTTCCTCTGGGGATTAAAGGAAGTAATAATAATAATAAAATGAAATCCCCCCATCAGCGTAGTTAAGTGAGCAAACAATAAACAAATGGCTTTCATCGATTCATAATTTCTCAACTTCAAATCGATGTGGCGGACTCATTGGCACTATTCAAATTTGAATACTTTTTCGGGTAGCTGATAACTCCACATTTGCTAGACTTTTATTATTATTGTTAATATTATTATCCATAGCTCCTCCCTCAGTCTCACCTTATCAACTCATGTGAATGCACATTTTCTTACGCTCAAATCCTCCTCTATTAACTACTCTCTACTTCTATCAAATCTGACAGAATAACAAGTTACTATGAAGGATTATATGCTCGCTTGCACATTCAAGTACAATAGTCAATGATACTCTATTCCGACCACCAGTGGTCAACTTAATGAAGATAGTACAAACGTGAAATTTTCGACCCACTGTGTAATTAGCATTAAAAATGAATCAGTTATTCCCACTAATTTGTAATTTTATGGTGACACTTACTATCCACATTATCTTAGAATTATGTGTTATGAATAACAATATTATGGTTATAATTATTCCTATAGTCAATTTACATTTGTACATTTAGACCCTGCTGTTTCCGGTAATATCAAAAGTTCATGTTATCAATAATTTTAGTTAGATGTAGCGTGTAATGTTCTTCTTCTTCTTCTTCTTCTGGTATTTTGGTTGTTCTGTAAATTAGATGGAATATTGTAAAAAATTCTGAGAATTCCATACCGCATCATGAGTAGTTTTTTGTGGAAATAACCAAACGTTATTGTTGTATGTTATAATGCATTCCATTCTAGTATTTAATCACAAATACATCAAAATACGAAGTATACAACAAGCGCAGGGTGTTATTCAGTCAACAATCATGTTGCATTCATGCCTCCTCTTATTTCCACTACTATACTGGTAGTGATCAAATGCCCGCTGAGGCGATATCGTCATTTTAGATGTTAGCAGAAGAGGAAAAGCCAAAAGAAGAATCCAGATGACACATAAATGTGTGGCTTATAGTTGTGATACACCTCCCAGTAACTCATTACTTACTTTATAATTACAAAGACTATCATCTTAAGATAGCTGTCATCAGCCCCCTACACACCCATCGCCATATACTTCACATTTCCAACACACAGTGAACGAACACTTCAGTCTAGTCGGCATCCACATACACAAAGATTCACCTTCAACAGGAAATCACCAACAATCAAAGAAATCCTCTAAATACTCTCCCCAATTTGTTAGCATTGCTATTATTATAATTATTATTTTTATTATTATCAATATTAACATGAATAATACATGAAATACATTCCCTCATATAGTATACATTCAGTATATAACTCACAATCATCATTCAATCTTATAGTTGGTGTAGTTCTGTAGTCAGAATCCTCGACACTTTATCTGAATCTGTTGATAGTTGAATCGACTTTGCTCGAGTGGTGAATGCTGTTTACTGCCTAAACTGATTGACTCACTGGATATGTTTTGTGTGCACAAATTTCTACTCACTTACACAAAGTTGAAATAAACTTTGGACTGTACATTTTTTGAATTAGCCTTTTAACAGGTTTCAGATTAAAGCATCTAATGGAGATAACAAGAAATACGCCGAACAAAATATTTAGAGCGAACAATTGTTTTCAACAAATTATTCTTCAGGCTCTACAATTATAAATCCATTAATGTAAGCATACAATGGCCAGTAAAGGCGAATTAGAATCATATCAGAAAGTGTATTGTGGAACAAGTATAAGATGGGATGAAACAATAGTCATATAGTCATATAGTTTTTTAATATGCATGGTCAATAACAACATGGGACAGAATGAGATGAAATAATTTAATTTAATGATGTGTGTATATATATAAATATAGTTAACAGAAAATACAGGTTTCAAGAGTGAGTGTAATCAGGGTGTGTGAGGCAATATGAAAATAAACCAACGAATGGGGCGGTCTAGACTTAAGTTCAAGGTTGGAAATAACAACAATAAGAATGATTGTAAAATAATAACGATGATATGGTGTAAAATTAAAGTTAAATGTACTATTGGTGAATGATTGTCAAATAATAATAATGAATATAATGAAGTGGAATGAACAGGATTTTGTAAATACGATAGCAAGTTAGAAAAGCACTATTTAAACCTAAGGTAATAAAATCATAAGAAAGGTCATGAAATCGTAAAAGTCGAAAATGTTGAACGTTTGTCAATGAAACAGAGGAATAGAAGAAGGAAGGTTTCATTGACAAACGTTCAACATTTTCGACTTTTACGATTTCATGACCTTTCTTATGATTTTATTACCTTAGGTTTAAATAGTGCTTTTCTAACTTGCTATCGTATTTACAAAATCCTGTTCATTCCACTTCATTATATTCATTATTATTATTTGACAATCATTCACCAATAGTACATTTAACTTTAATTTTACACCATATCATCGTTATTATTTTACAATCATTCTTATTGTTGTTATTTCCAACCTTGAACTTAAGTCTAGACCGCCCCATTCGTTGGTTTATTTTCATATTGCCTCACACACCCTGATTACACTCACTCTTGAAACCTGTATTTTCTGTTAACTATATTTATATATATACACACATCATTAAATTAAATTATTTCATCTCATTCTGTCCCATGTTGTTATTGACCATGCATATTAAAAAACTATATGACTATATGACTATTGTTTCATCCCATCTTATACTTGTTCCACAATACACTTTCTGATATGATTCTAATTCGCCTTTACTGGCCATTGTATGCTTACATTAATGGATTTATAATTGTAGAGCCTGAAGAATAATTTATTGAAAACAATTGTTCGCTCTAAATATTTTGTTCTGAATAAATACGCCGAAGTAGAGTCAGTAAACTGAATTCACTATGAATATACTTACTGACTGATTAATTAGAAAACATTTACAAAACCATCTTTATATCCATCATTCAATGCACGTTAATCGATGGAAGTAGAGGTGTCACTTAGTCCTCACACAGTTTACTCCCTTCTAAGCTATTCAGCCTATTTCCATCGATGTTGTTAGGTATAAACAAACAAATATTTCATACATTTGGTTCCCTTGATAAATTTCGATAGAGAAAGAACGACCAGATTTGCAGTATAAAATGACCGCCTAAATGAGGTCCCCTTAAATATTAAATTAACCATGAAATACGAACACAACGATGAGTTCATGAGCATATTACTGCTCTATGTGGAATTAATTGTGCCCTTGTTCTCTCTCTCTCTCCCTCTCAGAATGTTTCTCAGATCTCCTAACATTCTATTTGTTGCATCATTCGAGTAAATCTTCTTGACTCTCACCAAGAAATATCGTACAGGGCTTTGGGGCACACATCTGTCCTGCAATGGTTTATAATGAGACAATCTGACACTTCACTTCTCTCTACATAATAACATTCGATACGAGAATAGAATGTTTTCATTGTGGTGGATTATAGCTGTGGTGAGTGCAGGCTGTTAGCCAAAATTGGTGGACAGCAATTTACGTCAATGTTAATGTCCCCAATATTGATCGTGAGAAAAATGAGAATAAAGGCTTTGCGTAGGCGGATGTAGTTAACATATAGATGATCTGACATTCAACAAACAGTCACAAAGAGATGCAAAGTTAACTTTCTGTGAGAAACAACCAATCAGAAGACTGTGTTTTTCTGCTAACAATAATCTATAATATGTACATGAAAATCTGTAAATATGTGTTGATTTCCTTCATAAACGATCTGTTGCCTGGCCCTTGTCTTCTGTTGTTACATAGCTACGCAATGGGCTAATCTGATTTCATATCACACAATCACATATTAATTAATATCCACGTTTCAATCACACTTCATTTCCCATAATCACAATCTGTAAAATATCCTGCACTGACGCTAATCACTACATTCAATCTAGGTCAGTTAGTCTCTCAGAACATCGAAATTAAGCTGGCTGTGCAATGACTGATCCTGAAACATGATCGATAGGCCATCGCATAGAACTCACCAACACACACAGACACACACAAAGCAGCGTGGCTGAGCTACACTTCGAAATTGTAATGTAGTTAAATGAAGGCAGAAGTTGACTACTGCGTCCTTGTGAATCGAATCTACACCAAACACGTGAGACAGGAATGATGAAACACCGGTACAGTACTCGAGAAATGTAAAATATTAGTACTGATGAAATCGGAAGAAGTCAATGAGAGAAGTGTGTGAATAGAATCCGTAGGTCATTTTCTTACGTTGATATGTGTGGATATAGGTGATAAATCGTGTTCGCGACGTCAGTGGGGAACAAACAATATTCTATCCCTGTGTGGTATATCAAATATAGTTTTCTTTTATGAGATTCGAACGTATCGTCGTCAGTACAAAAATACAATCGCTGAAGACTCCGTAGTAACAGCTATATATAATGCAACTATCAAGAATTCTTCAAAATGTGTCATAGGAACTACTCTCCTTTTTAGTCTACCATGGTAACTAAGCATCACTGGAAATTCACTAATATACAATAATATGAAAAGCACTTCATTTTCAGGTATTTCACAATTTACGCCGTCCTAGTAAATAGGATGACCAGCACTCAGGTAGTGCATGCATTAGGGCCCATAGGTTGTGAACTTTCTTCGTCTGAAATGTTTGTGAAATATCTTACACCCACTTAACAATGTCTACTCCAATTCACAGTGCTAGTTACAATAAGCTTAGGCAAATAGTGATCATAAAAGAACATAACATTGATTCATCAAGCAATCAACTACAAGTTCTAGCTCCTTATAAGCTTTCCATCTGCATAACTAAAATATGTAGCTATGTGATGCTTAACTGACACTAATAGTCTTCTAATAATGTTACTTTTCGGTGTTCACTTGACTTCCCTCTGCCTTAATGCGTTCAGAATTCAGTGCTCAACTATCGTAAACGTTTAATCAATTTTATGTGAAACAACTAGTTAACCAAATCAGCAATTTTATCACTCCACTTCGGGGTAAGAGATACTTGACGTCGTTCAAATGAAGTCTAATGACTTCCATTGTGGTTAAAATTTATTTCGATAAAGTCTCACAGTGTTATACAGTAATATTTACTGATGACGTTTCGAGCACAACTTATGCCGCATAACCATATCAAGGCACTCACACAGTTTTCTTGCTTCATTTATTCATATGCCTAATTAATCTTTTACTCATGTATATAAACGAAGCAAAAAAGTTCGGTGAGTACCTTGATATGATTATGAGCAATAAGTTGTGCTCGAAACATCATCAGTAAATATTACTGTATAACACTGTGAGACTTTATCGAAATAAATTTTAACCACAACAAAGTTATACTCTTTCACAGTGCCCAAGTTCTACGATTATATCAAGTCTAATGACTTAATAGCTTAGTAAATTGATAACAACTTTACGAGCTCTTCTCAAACACGAAAGAATAGACTACTATTGTGGTGACAGCTGGCTGCAAGCCAAAAATGTAATAAAAAATTTACGCCAATGTTCAACCCCCGAAATCAGGGTCACGAGAAAAACAGTAACAAAGTTTAGCCTTGAGAAAGTCACTAGCCAATCACAGCGGAGTTAACGTGTGGAAGTATGACTCCCAGATATATGGCTTGATTTTCTGAGAAACGGTCACAAGCAATACAGAATAACCTTCAGCAAGAAAACAACCAACCAATCACAAGAGGTTGCTTCGCGTTAATAATAATGCAAATAAAAACCTATAAATAGCTCTTGATTTTCTCAATAAACAAGCTGTTGTCTGGCCCTTGTCTTCTGTCGTTACACTGTGACCTGCAAAGTCGTTTGAAGAAACTTTTAAAATAAATATATAGTCCAGCCTAATGTGTGATAATTAAATCAGTAGAATAGACACATGAAATTATGTCACACAGCAATTTTTTGAAATAGTGAGGCACATCGATAAGGTACAAAAGTGAATCAGTAGTATTTTTTACCGTTAGAGACATTGTTTCAATACGAAGTGAAGCCTGTACATGTTATCTGATGTTTAAGCAGAACCAGCCTGTCATTAACCCACCCACTCACACACACACACACAAGACCACAGTATTTGTCCAAGAAGTATATTGAATTGGTCTGATAAAAATAATTAAAAATATTCGACAAAACCAACGAGAAATTCATCCGTTCAACTCGAAATGTTCTCGTGAAACTTTTCCTTCTCGTTTTCCATCAACAGAAAAGTCCAAACGTTTGTTCTGCGGCTGATTACAATCTGACTACACGCTGCTAATAAACATATAAGCATGGTAGTCCATAAAGGAAATACTATGAAGACCAGGCGGTATCTGAAAGGTGTTTGACTAACTTGTTGAAATACTTTGTAAAATAAACCATCTATATATCCCTCGAAATACAAGCAAAGAACAATCTGTCCAGCCAATTTCCACAGGATAAAACACAATGTCAATGTCTGATTGAGTTTACTCCCAGCATCACAATCACCAAATATTTCAGGAAGTCTAAAATGTACAAATAGGAAATACAGTGAGCCCAAGTGAGACGGAAACGCCAAAAACACATCTGTTCATTAACACTTGACAATTTGATGATCACATACCTTCCAGACATGAACAGTATAATTGTGATGAGTAGAATAAAATCCACAAAGCACACTGGTATCAATACAATCAACCAATTACTGATTATAATCCCATTGGACTGTGGAATTTGTGAAAATAAGAGTATGCAGCATATTGTCCACAAAGTTAACACTTTATTGATAAGTAGCATTGCCTGTAAAATCCAAGAAAATATCGACTTTAATCTACACAACAAAAGTAGATATTTCGCACAAGAATTCCACTTCATGAAACTGAATAGAGATATAGAGAATATTGGTGCAGAGAATTATGGTTCTTGTTAGCTGTGTACGACCCAAACCATTTTATGCAACAAGTTATAATACAATGTTAACTTATACTTTGTTGGTCGTCGTGCACTAATACTTCACTGAGGACTTTTGTGAGAAATTCACAGTGAGGCAAAACATAAGGACGATAAGGTTTTCTGAAATTTTTGGTATGTATACATATATTATGAGAGCTAAGTTTCTCTTAAAATTCTGCTGAATTGGCAGAAGTTAGAATTCAAGGACCATTGGATCGGGTCCCAGTGGCTTAATGGTATACGAGCTCGCCTTGTAACCGGAAGGTCCTGGGTTCGAATCCCGGTGGGTGCGTACTGCTGAAGAGTCCCAAACTAGGATGAAACAGCTGTCCAGTACTCCCAGGTTTTCCAATGGTTCTCTAACTAATGTCAGCTCATGATGAAATCTGAAACCAATCAAATCCCTACAAACCAACACTTGAATACCAATGAGATGCTCACTGGCGACTGGCCCTATTCAGGTAGGTAGTTACCTGGGTTCCAGTGGGAAGTCGTGACCAGTAGGGTGCAGCTGGTCGGGTGTGAGGACAAATACTCGCCGAAGACATTGGCTAGCGGTCGCGCTATGTCGTGAATTGGCAGAAGTTAGAATTCAAGGACCATTGGATCGGGTCCCAGTGGCTTAATGGTATACGAGCTCGCCTTGTAACCGGAAGGTCCTGGGTTCGAATCCCGGTGGGTGCGTACTGCTGAAGAGTCCCAAACTAGGATGAAACAGCTGTCCAGTACTCCCAGGTTTTCCAATGGTTCTCTAACTAATGTCAGCTCATGATGAAATCCTGAAACATGATAATAACTTGATAATTGCATGTGTTTTGCCTCTTCCTAACAAACAGTGTACATAAAAGCACCACTTTCATACGAAGATGGTGGTAGTGGGAGATTCGACCTCCTGGATATCTGCCTGGAGAGAAAAGATGGGTAACTTTGAAGATCGACTAATCTCAAGGACACGTGGAGTCGTCTCTGCCTAAGTCCCAAAGGCTTCTGACTAGTCAGCTATAAATGAACGCTGGTGAAGACGCTGTCCTGTAGAGCGAGACCAATGTGTTTAGCAGATAAGGTTACAGAGTGAACCTGTGGTACTTAAAAGATGCCCGAAAGGAAGCGGCTACCAAAATAGTTTCATCAACCAAGATGGCAAGAGAGAATCTAAAGGACCAGAAATAATTAACGTCAGGAAAAGTCCGAACTTCATTTAGATCCACTTCAAAGGGAATAATATTATTAGAATGATGAATAAAGGTTCAATTACACCACTGACAAGGAATTATCTTACAGCAAAACTGCTCTCCCTACTCCGAACATCCTGCTTGTTGATGCAGAAGAGAACGTGATAATGGAGAAAAGTTAAATGAAAATAACGAAATTCACCTTACGGCTAAATTATACACTTTGGACTCAATTCTCATTTATTAAAAAAATTAGGAATCGTATGCACTCACTATTTCAGTGAAGCTAATACCACATCTAATATATCAACTCTCGTGCCTTCATCAGACAAGATTACTCATGTCAGTGGAATGTCTATGAACCACCATCAGAACACTCAACTGGACTAAAGAACTTCTCGCATGTATCAGACAGAGACTAAAGACTTAATTCAAAGTTTCTTCCCTACAAACGGGTGTGTAGTGGTGTGCAACAAGGTAGGGATTTCCACCCCTTCCTATTTATCTTGTAAATCAACGGACTACCTAGGCTCAGAAAATATCCCATGGTCTTCTGTGCAGAAGACCTGCAGATTGGAGGCAGCTGAATAATGACAGTGACATGTTTACGTTACTAACCAATCTCAACGACCCATTAGGTCAATCGAAAGATGGATATTTTCTATCAGCGTAGTCAAGTGCATGACTATACACACGGGACACGCAAGTATCACAGTATACGCCCCACAGTTCAGATACACACTGAACTAGTGTGTTGTGGATTGAAAACTGAGTGACATTATTGTCCAGCTGCAGGTCGTGGCTTTCGATCCTCATGGGCAGTAAGCAAGACCTTCACTGGATTAGCCGGGGGAATGTTCACTACAGTACACACATCTCTCGTGAGGTTAAAACTGTGAAACTATATCCAGACAGCCAACCTTTGTCTAAAACAGAGACTCATTTGTACTGCTTGATTGCTGGTATCACCAATCTCTTCTTGTTATCATACCGAAGGCAAACAGCAGATCTATCCACGATGATCAAGAATCCAAGAAATGATCATTGAATTGATCTACCTCTTATTTCTCTTCCCACCATACCTGGTAGGACATAAAAAAGAGCACTAAGACCAAGGATGAACCATAACTCTGTATAGTACTGGTTCTCCAACCGAGTCATCAATCCTTGAGACTGACTCTCAGGAGAAGTGATATCTTCACATTAGATTGACCAGCTCAAGAAGGAGTTAGACGAAAACACAGATACTGAATAGAAAACGACTAACATAGGCTGGTAGCTTTCTATCCCCAACCAAAAATATCAATCTGGAAAAGTACTATGACTACACTACTCCGTATACATTGCATCAGATACAGTCCCAATCACAAGTTTTGTCACTGTGTTATGCCTCCCTAGTCCTGTGTATTTTTTCATCAATTGGAGGTATAAAACTGATACGCCAAATCCGAAGACTCACCACACATTAGTAGACACATCTCAACTCAGAACATGACTAGTTGGAAATTGATTGACATGCCACTAAACCAATTTGATTTATTTGGCCTCCCCGTTACCCTGCAATATATAAGTCTCTGTCCCATACCACAAAATATTACCACAATATATACGTCTGATCTTATGAGATATGGAGGGATAATTCGGGGAAACTGCCAAGAGACTGGAAAAAAATCATCCTTTCTCCCATCTTCAAGGGTGGGGATAAACAAAATGTCATTAGCTATAGACCAGTAGATCTACTCCCAGTGGTATCAAAATACCGGTAAGTAATATTGACGATCACATCAGGAATCACCTCGGTAGGTCTAATATGCTCCATGAAACCCAACACGGTTTCAGGAAAGGCAGATCCTATGTAACAAACCTACTTTTAGCTTGGGGCGATTGGACATCATGCTGGGATATGAATATTCCAGTTCATGTGGTCTTCCTAGACTTTGAGAAGGCACTTAACACAGTTCACCATGACCTCCTAAACAAAATAAGCCAAGCAGGTATAGGTAAGAAACTCCTGTCATGGTTAAAGGACTACCTAGCTGAAAGACAATTTTGCCCTAAGTTCGATCGAGTCCGATTTTCTTGGCACAGCCCGTCATCAAGAGTGTCGCATGGTTCTATCCTAGGACCGTTGATGTTTTTGATTTTAATCAATGATTTCCCAGGCCGTCTAAGCTACGCGACTCTTCTATACGCTGACGATGTACAGGTATGGAGGGTGATAAAGAGTCCAGAGGACTCAGATAGGTTGCAGGAAGATCTTAAGCTTCTGAAAGACTGGGTGGTGGACAGTGGCATGACTTTCAACCTGAAATAGTGCAAGTAGTGAAGTTACGCACCTGTAGACCGCAGAATGCAAGTTGCAACGGAAGCTTGTCTTACACAACGTCGGAGCGCGACTAGTTCTAACGAAAAAAATGGACACAGGATGTAGTGAGGGCATATGCGGTCATACACTTCACACATAGACAGTTAGGTGCACTCACTCCTGAGCTCTTTCTAAAATTGTACAAAACATACGTCAGACCACACCTTGAAGTGCATAATATCATTGCACCCCCGCTGCTTAGAAGAGACACCAACCTCTTGGAAAGAGTCCAAAGATGGGCAACAAAAGGAGTGGTTGGTCTCCAAAACAAAACATAAGATGAAAGGTTGAAGAAATTAGGCCTATTCACACTTAGCTACCGTCGTCTTGGAGGGGATCTGATTGCTGCCTACAAAATAACAAATGACCAGAATCAACCAAACAGAGGTGTTATGTCATTGAGTAGGTATAGGCTTTCTCGTGGAAATCCCAGGAAGATAGCTCCCCGGAGGGCAAAGGCCACTTCTTTTCACTGCAGGTTTGCCGTCCCTGGAATTCCTTCCTGGCAGATGTAGCTATGGCACCGTCTGTGGGCACATTTAAGCGAAGGCTGGACAATCATGCAGTGACACAAGGACTGAGTTCAAATGGCCCACCCCCCTAAAATCACATACACCATTCAGGGGTAGACAACAAAGTTCGTCGTTTTACTTTTTTACATTCTCTCCCGTCTTACTCTCCTGAAAACTTTAACTACACTTATTATTATTATCATCATTGTTACCGATATGTATATCTTCTTCAAATTTAATCAGCTGACTGCTGTTACGTTTTCTTCATTTCTTTTAGTATCTGTTAGTCTGAATAACTTCACTAATTATATCTATCGTTATTATTATCTTTCTTTTGACAACGATACCGGTCGACTAACCAGTGGAAGGATTAACTCCATTCACATTAGTAACGGACTTAACACACCTCATACTACGAACCACATATAACTAATCTCAGCACTACTCCTTTTAGAGTTAACAAAAGCTACGACAGCCGAGTGGCAGGACAAGCTCCACAGAAGTTAATCAAGAGGTGAGCACAAAGAAATCAAACTGGTTTATACTAGTTCGTGAAAACGCTATTGGATACTGAAACCCAACAATTTGTTTCCCGATTCCTAGAAAAGAGGGTTGTCCAGTCTTCAACGGCTTCAACACTCAAATTTGAGACAATTGGCCTCAGGTTCAAATTTTATCCCATGCACCTAATCCATCCTGGATTTCTCGGTGATGTTATACACATTAAGCGTTGATCACGGTCTTCGTACTGTAAGAATAATAAATTGAAAGTCTTAGTGTTTACTTTGGGTTCAATCGCAACGGGCAATAACACCCAAATTTTAGAGTTGATAAGAGACACTTAGTACCACCAGTTTGAGTCAAGACAAATGTGAGTGCAGGCTGGTGGTACAAGTTAAATTTCTAGTGCTAAAGTATTGTTTCAACAGAAATAAATGCTGGGGGATTTCAACTGACTACGTAGTCTGTATATAAACTGTGGAAGGAACCTGAACTGCGGCACTTTCAGGTGACATTTAAGTCTAATGGCTTTATTTCGTATTCCCCACCAAACTACGCATTATCTCAAAATTACTCAGGATATTGGAGGAAATAAAGACAATTGGGAGTACTTAATTAAGACCAGGAATAGGTCGTTGTTCAACAACAGCGTCCCTGGAGTGCGAAACGCTCTTAGGACTTTGAACGCATGTTAGTCACTGCCTAACGGCACCTGTCATTATCCTGGCTGAAATATCAATGCTTTTAACCAACTAGGGAGTAAATTTCAACGAGGTCACACTTTTAAGTACTGTTTGGACAATGTGTTAACAGCTCGTTAGGGTTATGATTAAGGTTATGGCTAGGCTTACGATTATGGATAGATCTAGAATTGGTGTTATTTATTCTAATTTATTTTATCACCCACATTTTTCAGTAAGCAGTTGTTGGTCCTCTTACTGCAAACTATAATAATACAACCGAAGGCTTTTGCGGTAGACTGTACAACAGGCTAAGAGAGATGAAAGATTCACAAAAACAGCTTATCTTCGGTCGCCTTGATGAACACATGTACAGAAAGTAATCTAACTTAGCAACTCATACTCCTCGTTGTAACTGAGACATATTTTTAATTCATGTCAGAGAAAGACGCCCTGTTCAATGTGTTTTCATGCATTTTCTTCTAAATAAGAGTCATTTTTCATACAGAAATTCCTCACTTTTACGACTGACTCAAGGACAGTCGTGCGTTAACATCCCGTTAGACACCATTGTTGAACTTTGCCGAATAGGTAGGATTATTTCTCAGTTTTCTAGTAGCAGCTCATTAACCTACATTTACCAAAACCCTCTAGAGACACAACAGTTTTTTCAGGAAACATTGTGCAGCCAATACCTCTGGGATTAATTTTGACGACGATCTTCAGATACAGCAAACCGAAAATAGCAAATGAATTTCTATCTGTCACCAAGGCCGTAGATACACGTAACTATATGACCTTCTGATATCCAATATCCAATATGCGCCAAAACTCAAAGTAGTCAACCTAGTATTCTTTTGCAATCTGTTTTCAATCAAATCAATTTTTACTTTTTATCAAACATACTGAACAATTCTTTCTCATCTTTAGTGAGTTTCTTTGTGGTCAGCTCTGCCATCCACTTTTCGCAACTATGGTAGACCTCAGAAACGGTAAAAGGTCGGTTATCTTGGAAGAAATCTATCGACCGAGTTACGAAGCTTCTCTAATTTGCTTCATTCCTTCGCTTGATCAACTGTCCGTTTCGGTGACTACTATATATATACATATATATACATATATATATATATATATATATATATATATATATAACTACAGTCTCTCTCTATTGCTATAAGCTTGCATTTGTTGGGATTCTGACTACGTTTCCTGTGTTGTGTGTAGTACTCACACGTAAGAGATATGAAGTCCGAATTTGATCTTCCTGCATTTGTTTTTGGTACATTGCCTTCATTTTAATTCACAGAGTCATGGCGTGTTAACTTCAGTATATTTGTGTGTTTGTACTGTTTTCACAGTAACGTTGGCGTTACTGGAAATCTCTTGTAAGTGCGGACAATGCGTTAAGAAAATTCGAGTCACTTAAATGGTTGAAATTTAGTTCAGCTCAGTGACCAAGAATAAAAGTATGCAAGTTTAGCCTACCTGAGGCCCAAGTATCAGAGATGACTTTTAGCTCGACAATGCTAGCACATGCAAACGACAGGGAAGTTTCTTCCCTTCAGCTAGGACGCCGGTGACTTTGCACCAGGATTCCAGGTATCTTTCTATATAAAGCCTGTCGTTAGTCGGTATCAGAATAGTTATCAATAGTTTCTAGGGATGTGGAGGTGTATGGTGTGTACTAACCAATCTTCGCATGACTGATGTGTACAGACGAATGTGTATTAATGAAGTTGTCTTATCTCCAACACACGTGCGATATCCGGCTACCCATGAAACTAGTGTTAGCTGTGCATATGTTCGCTGTGATGCTAAAAGAGAGGTGTGTATGCTTGTATGTGTTTCCGTAAATGTCCACGTGAGAGACAGCGATATACTAAGTAACAACAAGACTTGGCTGACTGATTGAGCTTTCAACCAACAATTTTGCAGAGAGGTTTGTGAAATTGGAGTTGCCTCATTTAATGGCTGATAAAGAGTGAAGATATAAAGAAAGTATGATGGAGATAAATGTACGGGAGACCAAATGAGCACGTAAAGTATGAGGAGTTTGATGGTTCTAGTAGTTTATAAAGAGTGAATACATTTGCGTTTCTAAAGAAGATTTTGAGCCATTCGATGAGTCAAGTAAGTTGAGGAAGTCAGGTCAACTACCTGTAATGTCTTTCTGCACTTGTGTTACATCCACTGAGCAACTGCATTCCTCGATGAGTGATGTGTGCGGAAGAAGACTAGTTTGCTGCAGAGTTGCGTGTATGGTGAAGCCGATATATTGCACCAGTGCATCCATCCAGTCATTCACTGTTAGTCTGAGTGAAGAAGGATGTGTGGACTACCTGGTTGGGACGTTGAAGTTGTTATGAGTTAGACAACAGAGATTCTGTGGTGTGGGTTAATATTGTTCACGATGACTCCAATGTGTGTATACCTTGAAGTTGGGAGAATGCAAACAGATGTCTGGTTTTCCTCGCTCTCGTACAATTTTATTATTGGAAGTGTTGATCATACTTCTGTTCTATGCACTGGTTACTGTTTTTACGAAACGTGTTTGTAGTCATGCTTAAATGAACCGTCAAACACCCAGACGACACAGATCTGTTTCACAGAGATGTGGAAAACCGCTGTCAGCCACGTCTCCTAAACCGTTAAAGCCAAGCTGTTGCTACGCTCGGGCCCACGCTGTTCCTTGAAGTTTCTCAGAAACGCTTAGTAATAACGGACGAAAAAACCAAAACACCGATTGCCGACTCGAGAATTCTTTATTGTTACACCAACATATAGCAAACTTTGAAACAAAGCTTAAAAACTAAGGTTTCTGACGGTTGTCTCCTGACCTATTACTGAACAGCGACCGATGAGACGATGACTGGTGTGTTGATCCCACCGCGAAAATTGGGGAAGTTGGTTTTGAGCAAACAACCATGAATTGATTGTTCAGTCTTCAACTACATTGACACTCCCCGCCAATAAGTGAATCCATCCATTTTTTCCTTCACGACCAATACACGTTGACTTGGATGCCATTGCGAGAACCTGGGTCACACGGACAGAGCTGAAATGGAAAGCAAACAGAAAAGCCAACACACCACAAGCATACTCACAGCACAATCTCACACATCGCTGACGACCTGCGCCTCCAGATAGAGGCCTCCTCATGACATCTTGCAACACAATCGCCACTTGCTGGAATGACTCTTGCAGAATGCAACGTGACCATAGCAGCACCTCACGATACTCTACGCACATCTTCTTATCTACTCACAACCAATTACCACTGCAATCGCTTGTCACTCATTCTGCCTCAGTTCTAGTAACGATGACGTATGCGAGCCTCAGTCGTCTGCACTCTCTCTCCCCGGCGTGTGGGATCGCAGCTAACAATTATCTCCGTATGTATTTCATTCTCAGCAATAGCCTAGCCTCCCCGGCGTATGCGACCCATCTGCTGTCCTTCACACCAATCAATTCATTCACGGATGTAGAAGGCTAGAAACAACTTCAGAAGTAATCACGACGAAAATTTTAACAAAATTATGCAATAACAACAAGTTACGAAAACAACAAGTAAACACAATGAATCCAAAAAACACCAATTGATATGATACACCACACATATATACAAACAGTACACACAAACTCGCGGATCATGTCTTGGTGGAATTCCTTTGAAGAATCTCAGGACTTACACCAGTACGCCTACAACCCTTCTCACGTTGACGATTGTAAGTTTTGGAATGTCCGGACACAACCAAGATTAACCAACAATTACGATAATTGGAACTCACACAACTATTTAACACAAACATATGTACGATCAATACATCAAAGTGATGGATTCTGCCTTGACGAACTACCCTTGAAGAACTGTGGGACTTACAGCAGTACGCCTACAACCCTTCTCAGGTTGACGCTCTAGGTTGGAAAATCGTCGCAGAGTTCATTCGCTAACTTCCTTCTATCAGCTATATCCTCAAATCTGAACGGTAACACGCTCATGTCATTGTATCGTAGAATATAGATGACGAACAAACACACGACATATCTGATCAACCAAGTGTAGAAACAGAGTAATTTACACCAAAGATAATAGCATTCAATTAGTAACTTGAAACTAGAAATGCCTTTATTCATGCAAGTCAATTTAACAATTACTCTCTCGTTTACACTTGGCTTATTCTCACTAAACTGAGCAATATCTTTCGTCTTTTCAAACGTACCAATATTATCATAGTCATTGCACAAGATACTTGAGTTGATGGGCGTCTGTTTCTGATATGTATCCACATATATATATTTATGTGTGTGTGTGTATGTTGGTCTCTCTTTCTGTTTGCTCGGTTAGTCTGTGACCACTTCACTTGTATGAACTTGTCTCCTTTAACAATGTATATTCTATTTATATTATATATAATATGAGTGTTGTTGACAGTCCGTTGCTTGGTGACATATATCCATATATGTTTGTTGGCATGTCTGCTATATTCGCTATGTATAATTGGATCGACACTCCATTATAATTAGCCATTCATGTTAAGACTGTCTAATGATTTTTCCCACGCTTGTATGAATTATTTATATATATTCGCATTCACAATTTGTGTGAACTACTTTACTCACTTACCACTTTGGTGTGAGACCACTTATTTTCGTCTCCTTGTGTTTGGACAATAGAAGTATCATCGCAAACCTAGTGGTCTTCTGATTTCCGCCTTCTCGCGTCAGGACTATTAGTTTCTCGACCAGTCCATAACAATAATTTAGCGACGAGTACATAACAATTTGGCGACGGGGAAAACCAGAACATAACAATTTGGCGACAGCGAAAACTCGACCAGTATATAACAATTTGGCGACGGGGAAAACTAGTACATAATAATAACTTAGCGACGAGTACATAACAATTTGGCGACGGGGAAACTAGTACATAACAATTTGGCGACGGGGAAAACTACTATTAACCACACAGCAGCAACAACATAACAATTTACTATGGATCCTATTTAATTGGAATTATTGTTTGAACGACAAATGAAATTAATGGAAATGTTCGTCAACCAACAGACTGGTCCAGCTCCACCTTCAAGCAATCCCAATCATACCATGCTACCATCTGTCGACGGAATTGTGAACAGCATTTCACAGTTCAATTATGACCCAGAGGCTAATGTCACTTTTGACACATGGTATCAACGTTATGAGGATTTATTCACTGTTGATCTCGCCTCACAAGACGATGCCTGGAAGGTGCGAGTTTTGCTACGTAAATTGGGTCCGGCAGAATATGAACGGTACTGCAACCTAATTTTACCACAGAAACCACGTGACAATTGTTTCGATGATACAATAAATTTGCTGCGTGAACATTTCGGAGACCACTCCTCATTATTCAGTATACGTTATCGTTGCCTCAAGCTGGCAATGAATGAAAATGATGATTTTCTTACTCACGTTGGCACAGTCAACCGAGAATGTGAGAGATTTCGACTCAGGTCCTTAACAGATGATCAATTCAAAGCCTTGATCCTCATATGCAGTCTCCAATCTCCTCGTTTCACAGATATCCGAACTCGACTGCTCAATCAGCTAGAACAAAATCCCAAGTTAACATTACATGACATAGCTGATGAATATCAACGGCTGATTAATCTGCAGAAAGACACACACCTGGTCGAATCAACACCTTCGAGAAGCTCTGATATTCGTGCATTACGCAA